CCCACCAATTCAATAACAGTGAAGCACAGAAGTAACGAATAGGGCGTCGACAAATACCGGCCATCTTTAACTGAAATAGTAAATCTAAGAACTTGATATTTTAAACAAAATAAGGGAGCAAGAATGTTCAAACGGTTCTTAAATAGAGAAAGTTGTACACTTAATTTGTCTCTGTAAGATATATCATTGAGAACGAACGAATTGACGATCGAATTGCTTAGTGGTTTGTGTAACGGACTACTGTTCCAAAGGTCGCGGGTTCGATTCCCGCTCAAGTCAAACATTTGTGTGCAAGAATATTTAATGTTTGATTTGGTCCGGGTGTTTCTATGTATAATAAGTATGTATTTATAAAAAAAAAAGTATAAATGTATTTATATCAGTTGTCTAGTAGCCATAGTACAAGCTTTGCTTATTTTGGGACTAGATGGCGTTGTGTGAATGTGGTAGAATATTATTATTATTCAGCATTTAAACCAAAACCAAAACCAAAAAACCAAAACCAAAACCTCCTTTCTAAGGAGAGGCCTATGTTCAGCAGTGGACTATTACAGGCTGATGATGATGATGATGATGATGATGATGATTCAGCATTTTCACGTAAATTCACCTTAGATTACACGAAATCTTCATAGTGTATCAACCTGACTGGTAATACTGATAACTAATTTGAACTGGTCTTTAATTTTCTTGGTAAGGAACCACTCACCCTTTGAGGCAGGTAGATGTAAATAATTAACTGCCGCATGTCTGATCGTGACTATGTACCGGAATATTTAGGTACTGGAGACACTTGTTTTATGGGTTTAGTTTAGTACAGTTTTTAGGGTACGGAATTACACCAAATCAGATCTCTCGTACAGCCAATTGCTTCAAATCTACTTTTTTTTTCTGCGCGGAATTCCCCTCGGATACCTACCGGTGGCTATGTCGGACTAGAACCGACTAAAAACCGCACGTCGTCTCGGGTACCAGTAGCCTGGGAACCAGGTGTACACCTGGAAAGGAAATCCCTGGTACCTGCTTCGAATCTACTAACACAAATGTGTATGGTACTTTGATCTCCAAAAGTGACCCACTTTTGAAAGTACACCGCACAGTCTTACCTACGCATCTTTCGATTTCTAGTAAGCACATAGTTCTCGTTTAAGCTGGCTAGTATGAGCACGGCTAACACTTTACGTGCACGAATCGTGCGTTCAAATTTCGTAAACATGTATTTATTGTATGGTGAGGTTGTCACGCAATTCAACAATTAACGATTGACAGTCGCACCGTGTGCGAGGATTTTCTGTTAATGTATAGGCTGATCATGATCGATTGTTTCCCTCATCAACAGCCTATAATAGTCCACTGTTGGACATAGGCCTCTCCTTAGAAAGGAGGTTTTGGCCTACTATACCACGCTGACGGATTGGTATAGGGTTTGTGTCAAGTTTTCCTTCTCTTTGCAGTGCTGTTGTCCTGCGTAGTTTGCTCCCTTAGTCGGTTCTTACGACACCCACGGGATGAATAGTGGTGATGACATTCCGTATTCTTAATCCGTCACCACACGGACAATTGTAACCCTGTGGAATATCAAAAAATAATATTCCCTGGTAAGGCTTTGCGCGAGCATTAATAAACCAACGATTTATCTATCTTTCGATTCGATTTATCTTCTATGTTTAGTCGCATAGATGTCAAACTACAAGTACAACTGTATTTTTTTGTTACCAATAGTTTCCAATAGTAGTAGTAGTATTAATAGGCAAGGAAATATAGCGTCAAAAATTATTTTTTTGCACCACTGAAAATTAAACAGCTAAAAGGAAAATTAACAAGCTTCAAAAACAGCAGATGAAAAGAATTTTCGCTTAAAGCTTGAAGCGTTTTAGGTTTTGTTTTAGATTTTGTTCCAGTAGTGAACTATTTGATGTTTAAGGCTGTTTGCACATTGTTTTTATTAAAGAGGAAAGTAGGTAAAAGCAGAATTCTATGTCAAATAAATCGATCTGACTACTGTAGCATTTCGAGTTGTGGCTTTAATTTTCACATAGGAATAAAATTTGTGTGATTTACAAAATATTGCTTTCACGAGTGTATATACTTTCTAACAGTAGTAATATCCTAAGCCAGAAGTTTTACCTTCTCTTTGTGGTATCTTTCGTCCTGCTTCATAATTCTGTTTAGGTTATGTTATTACTGTTATTATACATATATTTTCCTTATAATCCTCTCTGACTCTGAAAACGTCAAGGAGGCTGATATGCCGAAACCGCATAACAGTAATGACACACATAATAAAGTATTAAACAAAATACAGTTTTTTTCCTGTAACGAGATTGACGCAAAACTAACGCAAAAATATTCAGCATTCAGATTTTTGTATCTATGCTCACTATTGTTTTTTGTTTAGGAACTTGATCTAAATATACATTTTAGGGATGAGTAACTAATATAGAACCGGCGCTTAAAGTTGACCACTTCAGTATTTCTACCAAAATGGCACTATTTGGTATAGTATATTGGCACAAAAAGGAGCTCTACAAAATGGCGCTGCTGGCGCTCCTTTTTGTGTTGCTAGTGTAAAAAATAGTGCCATTTTGATAGAAATACAGAAGTGGTCGAATTTAAGTGCCGGTTCAATATTGGTTACGCTCCCCTACTAGTGAAAAAAAAGCGTGTATATTTGTTAACAACTTCAATGCCTTTCTCATTAACAATTTGAAGAATTGAAGTGGAATGTTTATAATTCTTAATAAAGAAATACCTGTTTACATTATAGTGCCAACATATCTAACAATATAATATATTATAATGTTATAATGAAACACTTTTTTCAAATATGTATATTTGTGAAGAAAGCCTTTTTTTTTCAAAGGTTGAGGCATATTTGCCCAAAATGTTTAATCTGTGGCTTCACTGGTTTAGGCTAGCCACAAAGAATATTATTCAGTTCGATTTTTGACTTAGTTTTTCCTCGTGTGTGTATGTAGAATTACTTCTTACAAATATAGGTCTGACTAAACAAGTTAATATATAATGAATATTTTCAATAATTTGTGTTCAGTATCACATAAAATTCTGAAAGCGTTGGAGTTTATTGCCGCCATTGCTATTATATAATTATTAAAAAAAAAAACTCATTACACAACATTACTGTGCCTGGTTCAGGTTCATCCTGGTTTGGTATGTATATTTTTTGCCTTTTACGTTCATACAGAAAATTCCATAAACTGATTGTATGTTTATTTTTTATTTTTATAAAAGGTCTACTAGCAACCGAAATTACTTGTATTCCCGTGAACCCCTCCCGCTAAGCTAAATTTATAAATTGCTTGTGCTAGGAGTGGGTTCACGACGGTAGTGTACTGGTAAGGATTTGAAGCCACGGCCTCTTGATCGCAAGTCAAATGCCTTAACCACTAGGCTACCGCCGCTTTGAACGTAAATCTTGAATATTTATTTTATTTATATGTAACAAAGTTAAATATCATGTATTATTTTGTTTATACAACTTCTGCGTCAATATCTGCGTTATTATATGTAAATTATTACAGGCAAACCTGTGTGCCAAATTTTATTCAAATCTGTTTTAAGCGTTCTGGCGTCATTGATAAATCATTCATCGAATTAAACTTCGGCATTTATAACAGTAGTAAGATGAATGATGCTTGTTTACAGAAACTAAATCTCATACCATTCATAATAATAAAAAAAACATGCACAAGCTTATTTTTTCACATAATAATATAAATTCCTCTTCTGTCATTCCAGCATTTGGATGACTTGGGTTACTGGGCCTCGCCCAGTAATCCAAATGCATAACAATGATAATAATTTAAAACACTTGGAAGAACGTGTAATGTGATAATGATAATAAAAAGACAAACAAGTATTTGGATTTGGCCCACGAGATCGTCGACATGTGGCATTGTACCGATAGTCATATCGGCCCGTTGTTGCTAAGAGCCTCGACCAACATCTTCAGAGGCTCGCATTAGGCAGTTGGATTAAGGGCCTCATGCAGGAAGCAGTTATTCGAGGAGGTTTCTGTCTCTCGAGTCCTAACCACTGATATCTTGGTCACTGCACCCGATACCGATGGGACACTATTTTTTTTGTACATAAATATATTAAATAATGTAATTTATATGTCTACTTAATGAAATAAAGAGAATAAATAATAATAAATTCACACATCTCACACACGGCAGTCTGGTCCCAAACTAGGCAGAGCCTGTACCATGGTAATCAACCTGCTGATAAACATACACAAATATTTGTAAATACATACATATTATAGATAAATTACACCCAGACACAGAACAAATCAAAGTACTCATCACACAATATTTGTCATGGGTGGGAATCGCACTCACTACAAATTTCAACAATACTCACAAGTAAAATCCCGAATTGTATTGTGAAAGGGTGTAAAAATCAAACTACAAGAGATAAATGGTAGGATAGAATCGCATTTCACACATAAGTAAGCGTAGAAACCAATATTTTCAATAAATTCAAATCATGATGGCCCGACACGTTTATAAAACCGGCGTCGCTTCTTTCTTTGCAATTTCCATCTTAACTTTTTTATTTGATCTGAGAATCATAATTAATCATCATCATCATCATCATCAACAGCCTTTAATAGTCCACTGCTGGACATACAAGCCTCTCCTTAGAAAAGAGAGGCTTTTATCCTCATAATTAATCACAGATTGCAAAAGTTTAAATAGCATTAAAGAACTGTTAGTTTCTGTTTTTAACGCTATTGTGTATTTTTGATTATTTAATATTGTTTTCTTATTGTTTCAGATGACAAATCGACTGAACTGAATCTCGACAATAATCTCGGAACATTCCTCCGACATAAATTCAATTAAATCAAGACTGATTTTCAGTAGTATAAGCAACATTCCCATCGATGTATTACGAACAAGTTAAAAAAGAGGAGTAGAAAGAAAAAGAAGAATCTAAAAAGTAAATAATGCTCTAAGTGAAACTGCACCAAAATGTTCAAGTTACTCGGTGATCTACGTGTACACTTTAAATATCAGGCAATAAGGACTGACAATGCGGTTTTCCGGCTACACAATGTGTTCACCACAGTGTTGCTGCTCGCCTGTTCCATGATCATCACAGCGACACAGTATGTTGGTCAGCCGATCCAGTGCATTGTCAGCGGACTGCCGACAAACGTGGTCAACACATATTGTTGGATCACATCGACGTTTACCATGCCCGATGCCTTCGCCAGAGAGGTGAGTGAGAAATTTTTATTAAGTATAAGAATAAGTTTATTTTCTAACCATAATTACAGGATTTACATATAGATACATATTGATCGAAAATAAATTGAATATGGTGGGTTGATACCTGAACTAGGAATGTTCCTGTATCTCAGGTTATCAACCCTCCAGCCCATATACACAGCTGTCTTATATCTAAAGTAGAACCTTAAAATTTAAATACATACGAATCACTAGTTTATTAGGTATACATTAAAAATATGGGCAACGCTATCTAATTTCAAACTAAGCAGAGCTATGAAAGCTAGAATGACCGATATAATACTCATATACTTATTTTTTTTGTAAATACATACATATTATCATAGAAAACACCCAAACTCCGACACAAATATTTGCAGATCATACATTTAGTCCGACCCGGGAATCGTACCCGAGACCTCAGCACAGCACAGAAATCCAATATATATTGGCAATTATGTTCTGGCCACGTAGGTCTTTCATTTTCATTTGACTGATGGTCTTGTATGTAGAGAGCTTTTATTTTTTTAACACGGGGAATGCTTTTCGCATCATACCCTCCGTTGGGGAAACGGAAGGCGTGTGTGTGGGACTCCCGGAGAACCGGTCTATCCACTAAACCCCGCGGCGGCCTACCTCGGCAGTCGAGAGGAGGTCCAGGAATGCATCGATGACTTCTGGAGTCCTCCTGCTATACCCCATGACTGAGGCACATCCTGAGGTGACCATAATCACCTGCGAGGTCCCAGAGGTCACCGATCGATTCTGCGAAGAGCACGGTTACCATCCTGGATCACGTTCTTCCAGCAATATCTCATATCATAAACTTTTCCCTTGACTCTGCAACCTTTCCCTCACTCTGGCGTAAGGCCTTCATCATTCCTTTACCCAAAAAAACTAACCCCTCTCTTCCCGAACACTTTCGACCAATTTCTATACTTCCCTTTCTTTCTAAAGTGCTAGAGGCCTGTGTACATAAGCAGCTCGCACAGTTTGTAAATCAGCAGAATCTTCTTAGTCCTTTACAATCTGGGTTCAGACCTGGTCACAGCACAACCACCGCTCTCCTCAAAGTGACAAGCGATATTAGGGAGGCTATGGAGGAGACTAAAGTCACAGTGCTGGCTTTGATTGATTTCTCGAATGCCTTTAATACCGTTAGTCATGACGTTCTACTGGCCATCCTTTCCTATCTTATGATCTCCTCAGAAGCTCTGGAATGGTTCTCCTCCTATCTTCAGGGACGACAACAGAGTGTTCATATTGATGACTTGTCGTCGAGTTGGTGTGATCTTCTCACTGGCGTCCCTCAAGGCGGTATATTATCTCCCTTATTATTCTCAATATTCATTAATCTCATAACCCAGCACCTTCAGTGTACGTATCACCTGTACGCTGATGACTTACAAGTGTACACACAGACAAGGGTTGAGGACATAACATACGCTATCGACAAAGTCAACAAGGACTTGGACTTTATAAAGAGCTGGTCAACGAGGTTTGGTTTGTCGGTAAATCCAACCAAATGTCAAGTGATCGTCGTGGGAGCAAACAAATGATAAGTAGGTTGGATATGGCGGTCATCCCACCAGTTGTCTACAATAATGTGACTATACCTTATAGTGCAGTGGTAAAGAACCTGGGGTTATATATCGACTCGACACTTGACTGGCGGGCACAGGTTACACACGTCGGCCAGAAAGTCACCACATGTCTCCGTGCCTTATATCGATTGAAGAACTTCCTTCCCGCTAAAACTAAGGCTACGCTTATGCAATCCTTAATTATTCCCATAATCGACTATGGTGATGTGTGTTATTTCGACCTGAATGCAGACCTTCTCAATAAACTAGATCGCCTTCTCAATAACTGCATTCGATTCGTTTTCAATCTTCGCAAGTATGACCACGTGTCTGCTTTACGTTCCCAGCTGCAATGGCTCCCAATTCGTCAGCGCCGCAGTTTACGAGCACTGACTTCTCTCTTTTCTTTCCTCAACTCTCCATCGTTACCTGAATACCTCGTACCCCACTTCCGTTTCCTATGCTCCAATCACGATCGAAATCTTCGATCAACCAACAATATGCTTCTTCTATGCCCCCCTCACACCTCTAACTTCATCAACTCCTCCTTCTACGTCCAGTCAGTCCTCCTCTGGAATGCCCTCCCTGCCGAAATCAGGATGTCAACAAATCGCCTCGCATTCAAGCGAAAAGTGCGCGATCTTCTTCGGGGTGAATTGGCGAAATAGTTACAGCTCTAGTTCCCGACTGAGTATTTATATATTTTATTAAATTTATGTAGGTTTATGTATGCATGTGTGTTTTTATATTGTGTATGTTTCTGGACCTAAATTATGTTAATTTCATATTTTATTTTGCACCTACCGCATCATATTTCTACATCACCTGAAGGTTGACTGGGAGAGAATGCCTAATGGCATTAAGTCCGCCTTTGTACAATATGTGCATTAAGTTTAAAATAAATAAATAAATAAATTATTTATTGTTTCTAAGTCTTATTAATATAATATGTGTATTTTTCTGTTCTTATCTTCTTCTAATATGTATATTTATCTAGCAACTACCAATAAATAAAGAAATATAAAAAAGGATTTTAATTTCCTTTTGTATATTACTAGTTTTTACCTGTGACTCTGCCAGTGTATATGTAGGATATCGAAGAAACCAGTTGCCAATGTTACTCGCTAATCGAAAATCGGTTTAGTGGTTTAGGCGTGAAGGCGTAACAAACAAACAAACATACTTATTTTCACATAATATAATATAAGGATGGGATATATGCGTGAATATGGCAGAAATATAATGTATCTAAGAATATAATTAGGTTCAAAGTATCTCATAGTGATGTTGAATCGATATTCAACAGGGGCGTTAGACTGCAATTGGCACTAGCGGTGCAACAAGGTTTATAATCAACGAAAATGATACCTACAGCTCTTTAAAAAAAAACAATTATAAATTCCAACACCGTTAGTTCTTCGTTCACGACAATGCTTGCATTGAGGTGCAGCACGACTCACGAGTCGAATTAATTGCAATGGTAAGACAATATTGGCGTGTTGCCAGCTTCCAACATTACTTGCAATAGCATTAATGCTTCCATACGTACATAGATACTCTCACGCTTATCCCCGAAGAGGTAAATAGAGGTGCATTAAGTGCTTCTCCTTTTGGTTAACTGTCCTCAAAAAATCAAAAGGTTCTCAGTTCGATTGCATGTTTTTATGTTTTGTTACCTCAGAACTCCGTCATTTATAAACCAAATTCGAAAATTCTTTTTTGTAGGTTTATACTTCCCGCTCGATCCTATTGAAATTTGTAAAAAAGATCATCCCAAGGGTGGAAAACCCATGCCTATATTATAAATGTGAAAGTGAGTTTGTTTGTATGTTTGTTTGTTACGCCTAAACCATGAAACCAATTTAAAAAAAAAACACCAATGGATAGCTACATTATCAGCCAGTAACATGGACTATTTTTACCACGATGACCGACATTCACGCGGGCGAAGCCGTGCACAAAAGCTAGTTAAGGCATAAAGAACACAGTTAATTACGATTTTTACTAAATCCAGTTAATTGCTACACTGTCTTGTATCAAGTTATATTAGGCAACTAGCCTATTCATGAAAGAACTTCGATAGTAACCTTTAAAATTTCGCGTACCATGATAATATGAGAAAGCCTGTGACCGCGACCAGTGCAACCTGGTTTTTTGGTATCAGAGTTTTGTGCCTCAAAATTAAAAATTAAATCCGAATAGTATAATTATTCGTTTGTTTCTCTGTCTTAACCTTCTCACGGCGAGACGGTGGCAACTTGTAATCATGAATTTGGTAACAAAAAAGATTCTACACCCAAAAAAGGAACAATAATTGTTGTTCATGATTATATGAAATACTTACACCAGATCAAGTTTATTCTAGTATCTTTTGGTTTGTTGTATCTGTATCTTTGTTGTATCACTGTGTGTGCTTTTGTAAGACCTTGCCTTCATTATCTTTCATCATACGGGAGTGACCTTGTGTTCACGTTATTGCTAACTCCTATCACAATCAAAATCAAAATGGCTTCCGTCAAACCAGAACAAGTTTATATAAAATGTTAAGCAATATTTCTCAGAGCAACGTGAGCAAAACAATTTATCTATTACTAGCTGGCCTGCGCAAATTCTTTTGAGTCTCTTCTGAGGTATAAATTTTCCTCGTTTTTGTTACATTTATCATTGATGTTCAACTCCTATTGGTTGTACCGTGATTTTATATCTCGATAAGTGTACTATTCAACACTAATATATTTTTTCTATTAGGACCAGTAGTATCTACCTGACATTAGCGTGTTTAACCAAACAAACAAACAAACTATTCTGCTTTATATTATTAGTTTAGGTAAATAAGAAAGATTTTGATTAAATTTAAATGCACATTTAGCGCAACGGGGTAATGTTTTCTTTAAAGGTAGATCAACTTATACTTTCGATTCCTACTATGGAAGAGTACCTTTTAAAAAAAAAGTGTGTGTTTGCAATTATAATTGAAATACACAGCAGAAGTGAAACTTCCGAAACTATGTTTTTTTATTAATCTTAGAAAAGCCCTAAATAATTTTTGCCCGGCCCGGAATCGAACCCACTAAGCAGCGTTTTTAAATTGCACGCAAACGAAGTCGGGTACCAGCTAGTATTAAATAAAAAGATAAAAATATTCATACTGTCTATACATTATATTAAAAATGATGTGTGAATGTATTCTATCTCATTCTCTCGCCGACTCAATCCTACACATTTATGTGTTTTTTCTTTATCGTGACGCATTTTCGTTTCATCGAGTTTCAAATCACTACGATTCTAAAGAAGTATCACTTCAAAAAGGATGGATTTTACTGTCACTTAATTCAATAAAAATTGTATCTATTCTAATATTATAAAGCTGAAGAGTTTGTTTGTTTGTTTGTTTGTTTGAACGCGCTA